AGAACAAGGCTCGATTCTGGAGGTTTATCGGCCAAGCTCGGAACTATACTCATCTCTTTCGAGGAACTAGCATTTGCGGACAAATCTTTTGCTTTACCCCCCCCCCCCCCTCAGCAAGCTCTTCCTTCCCGCGTTCGCCCATATTAACCAAAACAAAACAAGCAAACTATAAACAAAGATCCACTTCAAACAATAATAACCAAAGATCCATTCAAACATGAAAGAAAATATATATACAAAATCCATAAATAGAACCAAAACAAGCACACTATAAACAAAGCACACATGTTCTGACATACAAGAACAAAGCAAATCCAACTTCTCTTATTTTTAAGACTTTGTCTAGTCAATTTGTTGTTGCGAGAGGATGCTTTACTAACCCCGGGTTCGTGCGTTTTAGTTTGAGAGCTAGTGTTTTGAGATGATGCCCCTTTCCCTTTTTTAGTGATACCAACGATCTTCTCCACAGCTTCCACCCTTTCAGACAGATACTTGATCTCCTTAAGACACGTCCTAAACCCTTCACTCATGGCATCGAGTACGTCCTTCAAAGAATCCTTCAACATTCTTTCAATATCCTATTTGGTCAGCCCACCAACAGTGGTAGTCACCTCTGGACGAGCCTCTGTAGGAACCTCTTCCTGTGCCTTTGCAGGTTCCTCTTCACTAGCCTCTTTACGAGCTTTCTTAAGAGGTTTTGGACTATCTTTGTCATCCTTCACCAGAACTATCGCTTTCTTCGCTGGACTCAAAACTGACGGCCTTATATTGACCCAAGTACCGGTGACGTCCCAGCAATCCATGGTCCACTTATGCGGTCTCTGTTATACATGAGTATAATTATGTTCTCCATGGCCGGGTCCTCAACATCAAAGTCCCATTGTGGAAAAATTTCACCAATGTCCTTCTCAACAAATTTGATCACTCTAGTCTGCAGTAAATAGAAGATACGAACTTAGATATTTGACGGACTAAGAAAGATGAAAAGAAAAAAACTTCGTAGAAAACTTACGATTAAGTCGTCTGGAAAGTCTTCCAGCTGGACGACTTAGAAGACAACTTAATAATAAGTCGTCTAGGAACTCTTCCAGCTGGACGACTTAGTAGACGACTTATTATTAAATCGTATGGATAGTCCGATGAATAGTTTCAGACAATTTAATTATAAGTTCTCTACTAAGTCATCCAGTTGGAAGACTTTCCAGATGACTTAATCATAAGTTTTCAAAAAAAAATTGGATTGAAGTACAGTAGAACCTCTATAAATTAATACTCGATAAATTAATAATCTCTATAAATTAATAAATTCATCGGTCCCAACTTGGGCCGGTGTAAAATATGACACATATCGATAAAATAATAAGATAATAATATTTTTAAAGCTGTCATGTAAATATATGGTCCCACTAAAATCATAAATTAATAATCTAGCTAAATATAATTTTATATAAGTATAATCTAACATTATATTGTTTGTTTTATATTTACTATAAAAATGCTTTTATTTTTTAAACATTTCAACATAGTTTGATAATATTTAGTTAGGGGTTTTATATTTACTATAAAAATAATTTTATTTTTTACAAATTTCAATATATTTTGATAATATTTAGTTAAATTATATCGAAAAACCATGTAACAATTCTATGAAACATAAAAATATACACCAAATAAGATAATAAAAAAATATAAAAGTCAAATTTCTAAAATTTAAATAATGTACATATGTTAAAACCAAATATATTTTTTATTTTATAAATAAAAATGGAAAAATAACAAAAAATCTAAATAAGGAAACTTTCGTAAATTAATATCTCTATAAATTAATAAAATTTCAAACTCCCAACATTATTAATTTATAGAGGTTTTACTGTAAATACATGTCTGCAGATAGTGTCTTTAAAGCATCTGCGTCATTTTCCACCCTTGTAAGCTAGTAGCGGTGGAGACAGTCTGTTTGGTATGGGATTATCAGAATTACCCCCAATTCCGGTAAAGCTGTGTACACCCAGACCTGGGGAGCTTGTATAAACCCATCAACAGTGTAACAACCCGAAATATATTTCCCCTTCACAGATTCCATTAGCACCTTAAACGCGACTCTCCCCCTTGGATAATTCTCAAACCGTTATAACTCCATCACTACCTTTCCATACTAACCCGTGTAGGGTTTGAATGCTTTCTCCCTTCAATGTATCCAGTAAAGATGGAAAGGTACCCGAATTTCTTGCGATCATCCCGAGACCACCCTTCAAATCTCTCAAATGCTGCTATTATATGTTCAGCAGTTAGCCTAGCTTCAACGTGAACTCCCAACAACTCCCAGAAAGAAGCCAACTCCTTTGTAACAACACATTTTGGTCTCTCAAGATCCTCGATGTACTCGCAGTGTAGACCAGTGAGGTTTTCAAACTCTAACAGTGAAAACCTCAAAGGTTGTGGACCAACGAGACTCCACAGCTCATACTGCTTCTTTATGTCGAGCTGGAAACCGAGCATGTAGTGAACCAGCCTTGAAGCCCAAACAAATCCCAGCTCTTGGAACTTGATGAAAACTCCCAACTTAGACTCCTTTAGCTCTTCATATTTGTCATCATGAAGAGCATTCCTTAAAGCAGTAAGCAACTTCGAACACGTATGATACCAAATGCTATTCAATGCGGGGGACTCTTGCCCTAATGTATGTATCCTACAGGGGGAGTTCTGGAATACCAATTTTTTTTTCTGCAAAACAATCAAAGACAACCATCTCAAACACGCCATCCAGTATAACATTTTAATAATAAGTCTGTCAGGTGTTTCAAAACTTCTAGTAGAACATTGTAAAGCCGACCTGAAAATTTGGAGAAGATATAGTTGCCTTCGACACAGCGGTTATAGATCTGCAAAAATAGACGTGAAAAAAGAAGCGCAATGAGAACGATGGTGAGAACGAGTATAGATACAACCTGAGTATAGAGAAAACGTTTTATGTTCATCTTTTCCTCAATCAATCACTCGACAATAAGAGATATAACTTACCAGCGGCGGAGTTCAACGAAACGCTCCTAAGAGAAACGGCGCTAGGGTTTACAGAGAAACAACGCTAGGGTTTCCTCTCAGATCTGAAATAGAAGAAGCGGCGGTGAGAACGACGGTGATAACGGCAGAGAGATAACCGGTGGTGAGAACGATGGATTAGAGAGATTCGACGGAAATCGCCTTTGAAATCACCTTTCAGAGAAACAGCGTTAGGGTTTTCTAAATTTCGCGAAAAAATGAGTAAAAAAACATCTTATATATGTCCGGTAAAAAATCCGGTTAGGTTTAAAAGTAAATTGATAAAATCAAAGGTTCGGTCCGGTTTGGATGACTTACTAGTAAGTCGTATGTCGTAAATATATATACCAGACGACTTAATAGTAAGTCATCCAGACCCTAAATCCTAAACTAAGTTGACCAAATTAACTAACTAACCACGTTATAAAATCAAATTATACTTAAATAGTGTTTACTAGACACCGAAATAAACACACTTAGGTAAATTTTAAATTTTTCAAAAAAAAATTTTGCTTTCGAAAATCTAACCCTAAGAAACACATACAATACTAGAACATATGTTGGCAAAACCTAAACCAAAGAATATCATGACTCACTACTTTCACTCATCTATGTTAAAAACAATTAAATTTTGTTATATCTTAATTTATATCTCTTAAAACATATGTTAATTACATATTTCAATTTTTCACTTATGAAAATATTTTTTACAAAATTTTTAAATTATTTTTAAGAATAACTATACTAGACGACGGACAGAATAGTTGCGGGATTAGAAACGTAAAAACAATTTGGGTTTATTGTTTGTTCACAAAGGTCTTGTTGTAATTTCAATAGCATTTTAGGTTACTTTTGCATTTGATTAAAGTTTGGATTTACTTTTGCATTTGAAACCAAGTTGTGAATCATATTTGGCAAATTTTCCTTATTAGTATATAGTAATTTGTTTTATATATTTTAATTTATATTCTTATTGATTATTATTATTTATTAATATATTCTTGATTTTGCTACATAAATTATAATTTGAAATAATCAAATATATAATTTAATTTATGCAATTTGCATACAATACATTTAAAATTTATTTAGATATACTATAGATAAATATTTTTTAATGATAATTTGTATTTTCATATTATGTTGTGCGGGTCAAAATCTAATAGATGTTAAGTGAAGTCACACATCGAAAATAAAGAATTTGTTAGAATACTATATAAACAGCCAATTGGTATGCAATTTCAAATTGAAGATCCTTTTTAAAAGATATACTAGATCTCAACCCGCGCAACCGCGCGGGTATTTGTTTTCATTTATGTTTACATAAATATTTTTTTTTTACTTCTAAATTGGTATATATTATATAAGGTATGTATATCAAAAATGATGATTAATTATTATATAGTATAGATTAATTATTATTAGAAAATGATGATTTTGTTATTTTTAAAAATAAACTATATAATTTTAAAGTTAACATCAAAAATATATAAATAATTAATTTATACTATTACAATATTAAATTATATAAGTTTAATTTAAACATGTATTTTATTATAATATCTATAAATTCAATGGATCATCTAATTTTTATTAGCCCTATAAAAATTTCTAGTAAGCCCAATAAATGTTATTAATGAATCTAATGAATGTTATTAGTGATTGAATAATGTAATGTCATAAATACTATTAGATGGTCTATTTTAAAATATCACACATGAAATGAAGTCATGACTTCTCTTTTAATATATAAGATGCGTTCAACTGGAAAACCCCAATGAAATATTTCGTATTTTATGACTTAATCCTAACTATCTCTTAATTTAATTTATTACTAATAAGAAAAAAATATATATATAAAAAAAAGACTTCTTAGAGTCGTTCTAAATAATTGTCGACAAAAAAAAGTCCTATATAAACTAGACTTGCAAAGATGATTTTACTTGTCAAAGATTCATAACTTGGTTGGTCCCCTTCTTCATCTTCTTTTCTATCTCGCATCTTTCCACATTCAAGTAAGTTCGTCCTCATCATTTGACAAGTATCCAAACTATTAATATACGGCATTTTCTGGTGACCGGAAATATCATATCCAAAAGACAACTTGTGTTTTAGAATCTTGATATCAAATCTTGAAGGGGGCAAGGTCTGAGAGGATGAGCAGTGTTGGTGATCAGTCTTCAAAGAAAATTGAAAACATAGTCCTCGTAGGCCGTACAGGGAATGGAAAAAGTGCGACCGCGAACAGCCTTATTGGAAAAAAGGTGTTCAAGTCCAAAGCAAGTGCAGCCGGTGTTACCAAGGAATGTCTGCCAGCTGAAACTCTGACAGTAGATAATCACAAAATCAAAGTGATCGATACTCCAGGTATATTATTATTTAAACTCAGGCTTCTACAACAGCCGCAGCGTCTAGAGGCTGATTATGTATTACTTGCTTAATGTGGGGGCTTGTGTGCCAGGCCTGTTTGACATGTCGATGGCCGCTAACTTTATAATTAAAGAAATCATTAAATGCCTAACGTTAGCGGAAGGAGGGATAGATGCTGTGCTCTTAGTTTTTTCTGCAAGGGCTCCAATTACACGTGAGGAAGAGAAAACACTTCAGACCTTGAAGGATCTATTTGGCAGTCAAATCATTGATCATGTTGTCATCGTTTTCACGGGCGGTGATGTGCTGGAAGAGAACAAGGAGACATTGGACGACTTTTTGGCTAGAGATTGCCCTGAGTACATAAAGGTCCGTCTTTTGTAGATTAAGATTCATAGAAAACGGATAGTTTAAGTCTCTCATAATTAAATTGCAGGAAGTTATAAAGTTGGCTGGTAACCGAATGGTTCTATTCGATAACAAGACTGATGATGAACACAAGAAGGCAGCACAAGTCCATGAGCTTCTCTCTTTGATAGATAAAATGCGAACGAACAACGGTGGAGCAGCATATACGGATGACTTGTACCACAAGATAAAGGTAAAAATTATGTTATGACATCTGCATCTTGTGATAGTTTTTTTTCCTAGAAGATAGATGATCCTATGTATGAACTACTTCAGGCAGAGCTCGACGAACTACGTCAGAAAGAGAAAGACTTGGAAGCAGGGGCAAAAGATTCGATATCAAAGATAAAGGAGGAGTTACAAGCAGAATTTCAAGAGAAAATGAACAAAATGACAGCCGAGGTAAGAAAAAAAGAATTAATAACCTCTTGATCATTTCTAGTGTTCTAAATAACCTCTTGATCTTTTTCTTATTTTAGATGAAGAAGAAGATGGGTGATGCTTTAGAGAGGCAGAAGAAAGAGTTTAAGGAAGAAGAGGAAAAAATAATTGAGATAAACGAACGTTTTATAAAAGATTTGCCACCGCCTAAGCTTAATGTGATTTGCAACATCTTATGAACGAATGTCTTTTATTTTACAAATGTTGGGCCTTATGAAGATCAGTATGGAAGCAATATTCGATTGCTATGTGAAGATACAAATTTTCAATTGCTTTCCGTTGTTCCTTTTTTTTCCTAATTTTACTTTCTTATTTTACTCTGCTTTAATATATTTCTTTGTCAAAAGAGATTTGTGGTTTCTCTGTGTTGATTTCCAGTTTTTATGCTTGTTTCCATGTTTCCATGGGTGTATCACATAAACATTTTAATAAAACACAATGTTTGTTTTCTTGTTTACAAACGTTAACAAAGAGCCTACCGTGTGACCCTCCTTCGGAACAGAATACGAGGGAGAAGCCTGGTTCGAAGATGGATACCAAGTCTTCTTCAGAAAATGACACAAAAAAAGATGATCGATGGAGATTCATGTGATAAGGTTAAGAACCCTACATGATCTGTCTGAATCCAACAGATATATAAGAAAATTCCGCCTGGTCATATTTTGATACATGAGTTGAGAGGAAGATGAGAAAGTTTGTTATGAAAACTGACGATGTTTTCATTAATCTCAACTATAAACTTTACACTAGTATATATACATGTGGTAGACTAAACCTAACTAAACCAATTCACAATTAAGTACATTGAACCAGCAAAAGAAAACTGGTTCCACTATATAAATCTCCAATAGTTCTCCTCGAGATGAGCTTTGTGTGTTAATCAAGTTCATCTTGGATATAAGATGTTAAAATTGATAGAGGACAGAGAGGTTTTGTAAGAATGTCAGCCACTTGATCTTCTGGTACATGAAGAGTACGGAGTAGCCTTTTCTCCAATGTTTCAGAGACGAAATGACAGACAAGTTCAATATGTTTAGTACGCTTATGAAAAACTGGATTGGTGACAATGTGGATAGTAACCGTACAATCAGATTAGACACTGGAAAAAGTAAGTTGAAGATGCATAAGTCACGAAGAAACTGACATAACCAGGGGCGGAGCTATGCTATGGTTAGGGGGGTCACTTGACCCCAGCTCATTTGTAGATTTTAATTTATTTGGCTGAATGTTTAGCTAATATCTAGTAAATTGATTATGTTTTGTTACTATGAACCCATTAATTTTGGAGATTAAACTGTTTCTGCCCCCACTACAAAACCATCCTGGCTCCGCCACTGGACATAACTACATCATCTTACAAGTAGCCAAAGCCAATACTCTGTATTCAGGCTCTACTAAAGACCGTGAGATTATAGGTTGCTTCTTAGACTGCCAAGTTATCAAAGAATAACCTATGAACATAGGGGAACCTGTAGTTGAATGTCGACTATCTTGACAAGATGCATAGTCTGCATCTGCAAAGCCCTTGAGAATGTGATCTTTAGTTACAGAGTAAATAATCCTTGACCAAAGTCCCTTTGATAAATTCAAGAACTTTATATACTGTACGAAGATGAGGTGATCGCAGAGCAGAGTAGTATTGCCAGAGTTTTTCACTACAAATGTTATATCCGTATGTGTGATAGTACGTAACATCAAACGACCAACAAGCCGACGTTACATTTCTGGAGTATCACGAAGATCTCCTTATATTTTCAAAAGTTTGATTTTTGGTACCATTGGAACAGAAGAAGAACGACCATCTAATATACCAGCAGATGTCAACAACTCCGATATATACTTAAACGGACATAAAGAAATCCCATCAGAAAAGAGCAACTCCAATCCCAAAAAACACTTTAGTGTTCCAGGGTCTCGAAAGCCTGAAACACCTTTTAAGATCATTTGTAAACATCTATACTATTAAAGCTCAAGTACAAAAATAAAGTGTCTGGAAACATGAATAAGAAAATTTTAAAATTTTGATTGGAAACATGGATATCATACAAATTTAATGGGCTTATTTATTATACTAAAGATTACTGCGGCCCAAGGTACAATTATTTTTTTTTTTTGGATTTTCTATCATTAATATTACTTTACTTCTAAAAATTATTTATACATATATGTATTCATATTTTAAATGTATTTAGAATAAATCAAGAATAATATATATTTTATTTATATAATTTATATTGACTATTCTTATAAGTTTTTAACAGTGATATACTAGCCTTCCAATTCTTCATTAAAAAATTAAATTAAAAATTTGACTAAATTATTTAGTGTATATAACTTTACACCCAATTTAGTCAAAAAACTTTTTAAAATATTACTAAAATGTTTACGGGTCACAATATTTTAAGACGCCCCTGTTACACAATACAATAATGATATTTAAATAATATACTATTACTTAGTAAAATTGACGCCATTAAATTATAATTTTGAAATGTTATATATACCATAAAAACAAAGACCCGCCCAGTCGGGCGGGTTATGATCTAGTTTTAGATTATATCATTTACATATACCAACACTACCACAAACTATAATTGAATCCCTTTAAAAATAGGGTATGATCTCTACGACTCTTCCACTAAAAGAAAACATGGACGTAACGACTACGCATTACGACTACAATGGTGTAGTCGTAATTTTATGTTTACTTAATGTCTAAATAACAACAAGAAGAAGAATCGTCGTAACTATGATGTAATTTTGCAACGAATATGTTTCGTCGTAGAAATGACGTAAAGTAGTGTCTGTTTTACAACAAAATTTAAGCGTTTCCGTAAATGAGACGTCAACGTACGACTATTTTTACGATGAAACTTGCATCTAATTGACGACTAAATTATGTGTGCTTAGTAGTTAATCCGTAGTAAATTGGTTTGGTCGTAACTTTGTGGTAACATTCTAAATAGAAATTTTTCTATAAATATGCTCTCATCTCTCATTTTTAAGATACATAAAAAATGAAATAAGAGTTAAAAAAAATGTCTCGAGATATTTATGAGGTTCAGAGTTGGATATATGCTCATAGAGATTCTACGGGAAGAGTGACAAACAAATTTCTCAACGGGGTGAAGATATTCATGTACCAAGTAAGAAACACGTCTCTCACGCAGGAAACGGGTAAAATGTTATGTTCCCTTCGTAAGTGTAAGAATACCAAATTCTCTCTTTGAAAAAGTAAATAGATGATTTACTCCACATTACTACATTTGGTATCATCATGGAGAAGGTGATAGTAGGATTGATGAAGTTAGTAATAGTAATCAGTTTAAAAATGTTTGTAATAGAGAACAACATTTGCCTTATGAAAATGACCCTCGAGAGGATCATATGGTAGATAGATCATGATAGGATGCATGATATGGTTACTGATGCATTTCGTGAAACAACCTCAGTAATTGATGCAGAAGTAGAAAATGTAGAGGTAGTATACAATGTAGATGGGCCTAACTTGGATGCAAAAATATTTTATGAGATGTTAGCCGCAGCTAATCAGCTATTTTATGAAGGTTATAGAGGAGGTCTTTCTAAATTATCGTTGGCAAGTAGGATGATGAATATCAAAACTGATTATAACTTACCTGGAGTTTGTATGGATGCATGGGCTGAGTTGTTTAAAAAGTATTTGTTTGAAGATAATGCGTGTGTTGAATCTTAGTATAAGATTCAGAAACTGGTTCATAGTCTTTGCTTACCTTCGGAGATGATAGATGTGTTTATAGAAAATTGTATCATCTTCTGGAGGAAAGATGCAGAATTGTTGCAAATGTCAATTTTGCAAGAAGCCACAATATAAACCGTAAGAACATGGACGGAATAGGATACCGACAGATGTGGTACTTACCTATTACATATATGCTGAAGAGATTATATCAATTTGAAAATACTGTAGCAGCGATGAGATGTCATGTAGAACATATTTAGAAGGAAGGCGAGATTAATCATCCCTCAGATGCAAAAGCGTGGAAACACTTGAATTCGGTGCACAAAGATTTCACAAGCAACATTCGAAATGTTTATCTTGGATTGTGCGCAGATAGATTTAGTCCTTTTGGAATGTCTGGAAGACAATACTCACTTTGGCCAGTCATCTTGACGCCATACAACCTTCCACCAAATATGTGTATGGAAAGGAATTTCATTTTCATGAGTATATTGATACATGGTCCTAAGAATCCGAAGCGGTCCCTCGATGTTTTCCTACAGCCTTTGATAGAAGAATTAAAGGAATTGTGGTCAACGGGGATGCAAACATATGATTGTTCAACGAGAACCAACTTTACAATGCGAGTCGTTCTTTTGTGGACCATCAGTGACTTTCCTGCATATGTGATGTTATCAGGTTGGACTACGCATGGGAGACTAGCATATCCTTATTTTATGGGAAGCACAAGCGCATTTCAGCTGAAGCATGGTAAGAAGACGTCTTGATTTGATTGTCCTCGAAGATTTCTTCCCATTAGCCATACGAACAAGTGAAACATGACATTATTCAAGGCAAAAGTGGTTGTACGGGACACTGCACCTCCTTATTTATGTGGAGAGGAAATCGAGAAGGTATTGATTACTATAGTGCACAAGAAACAGTCAAGAAAAGGGGGGTAATTGGCATACTCCTGCAAATATGGCTGATGGTTACGGAACACAGCATAACTGGCACAAGACGAGTATATATTGGGAACTTCCTTACTAGAAGGATCTACTTCTGGTACACAATTTTGATGTGATGCATATAGAGAATAAATTTTTTGAGAGCATCATCAATACATTACTGAACGTCCCCGGAAAGACCAAAGATAACAAAACTCAAGGTTGGATTTGCATGCATTATGTTATAGGAGTGAGCTGCATATTAAAAACGATGAGTAAATTCCGGTTTCCATTTTCAGATTGTCAGCAGAAGCGAAGGCGGCGTTGTTCAAGTGGTAGCATCAGATGTGAAGTTTTCTGATGGATATGTGTCAAATCTATCAAGATGTGTTGAGCAGGGACAAAAAGTTTATGGGATGAAGAGTCATGACTGTCATGTGTTTATGCAACGACTTCTACCATTTGCGTTTGCGGAGTTGCTTCCAAAAAAGGTTCACGAAGCACTTGCAGGTAAGAACAATTTCACTTAAAGAGAACATACTTATCGGAGTTAAAAATATTTATCTTATTAATTCAATTGTTATTATTTACAGGCATTGGAGCTTTTGTAGAGATCTTAGCTCACGTACCTTTACTGAAGATGTCATCAAACAACTTGATGATAATATACCGATCTTAATGTGTAATATGGAGAAAAATTTTAACGTCATAGAACATCAAGTTTTCCATCTCCCGTATGAGGAATTGCTTCGTGGACCTGTTCCTAACGG